GTGTGTGTGTGTGTGTGTGTGTGTGTGTGTGTGTGTGTGTGTGTGTGAACATATGGACAACTGGTGGATGGTGCAAACTCCAAAGAGCAAGCTCCAACCATTTTACATACATACACTTATACACACCTACATATTGGGTGGATGGAGCAAACTCAAAAGAGCTAGCTGCAACAACTATCTTTTCTCCTACAGCTTATATATTCCAGCAAAATCAAACAGTATAAAAGTCACAATGTGGTTTCATTCCATGTTTCTTTAAGTGAGGAATTATAATGAGTATAAGTAGCAAAACATCATGTTTTCCAATACCATCACATGATCAGATGTTTTACGTATTATGGGTGAAAAACAAATGTGAAAAACAAATTATTCCCAAGAGCCCACATACATTTGTGACTAAGCAACTTGTTATAGATTAACAAAATATAAGCAAGTGAGGTAATTTCTTTTCCAGCCAGTCTTTCTTTACTGGCAGGCTTAATTTGCAGCTAAAAAGAAAGAATTATCTTAAAAAGTAGTCTTAAAAAATCTTAAAGGAATCACAAGTCTAAACTTTTATATAAAATCAATCAGCCATTTTTACTTTAAATCCTAAAGTGCACATCTACTCATTAACAGTTTTAATTAAAATCATATCAGGAACCTGAGGGTACAAGAAATTAATCATCACCATACCAACTTGAGAGAATCACATCAGCCAGTGCCATTTGGGGTACTGTTTTGCTCGCCAACCTCAAAAACTTTTCTAAACCTCAAATTGTTCCTCAAGATTTTCTACATCAGAGCCACTGACAAAAACATCTTAACCTAACTTTCTAAAGCTATTTAAATCAAATCAGAAATTCTGTGAAATCATTAATTCATCTAAACAATATTATTTTATGAAAGTTTATCTTCATATTGATATGCAGGAAAGTTGCCCAAATGAGTAGTCAGTCACCCAGGAAACAATCACAATCAGACTATAGGCAGTGAGGGTCTCCTTACGACTGATCACGCCATGCCAAAAATATGTGAAAGACAGCAGTAACAAACACGAGAAGGCACAGCAGCGCTAAGAAGCAAGCCAGAGACAAAGCTCTTGGGGCTGGGCCTTTTGAAAAGTTCTCCAATCCCAGCCATGAGAAACTGTAGTCTTCCCCAGGGAGCTCACCTGCCCACAACAGCTCCTCCTACATGGTATCTGCCATTTCTACCTTTTAAATTAGTTAATTGAAGCGTGTGGATTTTTTTTCTGGGCAGAACACACAGCAGATCCTAGATGTTTAAAGATGACTGGAAGCAGAAACAGACAAAATAATCCTATCATAATTTGTAAGTTTATAAGGAAATTCCATAAGGAATTATTTTCAACAAAACTCCTAACTGAATTAGAAAAATTACTGGCCAGTTTTTTTTTTTTTTTTTCTGAGAGACCTGCAACCTACAATGACTGACAGCACTAACATATAATTAAAACGGTAATTATTATGTTACAGAATTATATATCATACATTTATATAGCAGAGGACCTGAGTTTGGTTCTCATCACCCACATGTAGTGGCTCACAAAGGTCTGTAACTCCAGCTCCAGGAGATCCAGTGCCCTGTAAGAGTTTTGTGAGTGCCCACGTTCATATGCACATAGCCAAACACAGACACATAAAGATAATTTTCTTTAAAAAGTATATCTTTAAGAAAATAATCTATAGCAGTAGGCATAGTGGTATATTCTTTCAGTCAAGAGGCTGAGGTAGGCAAATCTTTGTGAATTTGACGCCCACCCAGTCTACATAATACATTATAGACAGCCAGAGCTATCCAGTAAATGAATTTAAAAATGAAAGACAGAAATCAGTCTATAGTTTGGGACTAATGGTATCACTCGATGGTAGAGGACTTGCCTTCATTGATCTTGGAATTCTACTGCTTAGCATCCTGAATAGCTGGGATTACAGGCCTTGGCCTCTTGATTCAGGCCTTTTGTATGGCAGTATTTCTACTATCATTACTTTGTATGAAATTTAATAGAAAAAATAGTATTTTATTTTATTGCAGAGAATATAGGAATATATGTATTTGTCACTCTTATGATCTACTCTTTTCTATCCTAGTGTATGCAAGACTCCTAGGACCACAAAACATTACATCCATATTTTCAAATGATATAGTTATATAATATATATTATAAATATAATTATATTTTCAAATTATATAAATCAGTATATATTTTTAACTGTACTGGGAAAATGGTAGACCCAAAACACACTTCTGATCATATAACAGTTTTCTAAAAACTTGAGTTTAAAATTGTCATATAACTTTTATCAAAAATGTTTTAGTTAAAACTGTACACATCTATTATTATTATTATTATATATAATTTACTAAACCAGGTCAAAGTAACGGATATATATATCACCTCAGACATACATCGTTTCTTTGAGAATATCAATAATGCTCTTAACTATTTTAAGACAGTCAAGTAATTGTTGTCAACCATATTTTATTTCAGAGAATATAGGACTACATATTTTGCTATTTTTATGATCTATTCTAAAATGTTACAGTTTTCTAACCCTCTCCTAAAGCTAGAAATGTGGTTCAGTAGATAGAGTACTGCTTGTCAATCATGCACAAAGCCACAGGTTCAAGTGCTGTCACTATAGAGACTGGACTTGGTGGCACATGTCTATAACCTGAGCTCTTAGGAAGTGGAGGGAGGGGGGACAAGAAGTTCAAGGTTGTCCTCAGCTGGAGAACAAAGTTAAGGCTGGCTTGGAATATAGAATACCTGTCTCAAACAACAAAAATAAATAAATAAAGGTCCCTTGAACTACATTAAATATATACCACGCTATATGTAATGGCAAAAACCCACATTTTCTTAATTTTGTTTAAAAGCTAGTATATTTGTTGAGCTATGTTACATTCAGAGCTGGAGAGATGGCAGCATGGTTAAGAGTTCTGTCTGCTTTTCAAGAGGACTGGAGTTTGATTCCCAACACCACACGACAGCTCAAAAACATCTGCAACACCAATTCCAGTGGAGCAGACACTCCTCAGGCCTCCTTGGCACCAGGCACACACACAGTGTACAAGACATAGGTATGTAGGCAAAACATATAAAAAAAATATTTTTTAAAAAAGATATGATGCATTCAATAGTATCAACTTCACTGTGTATAAAGAATGACTGTTGGTTTAAAGCAGAAATTAAGATTTTTCTCTATTCTGTAAATTCCAGGGAGAAACACATCTTATATTTCCTAAAAAAGCTTCAGTGGAACAGCTGCAGAAAATCCGTGACCTGATTGCCATAGAGAGAAGCAGCAGATTGAGTAGATCAAATAAGAAGGTGGAATTTTCTCAGCAACCTGCTGTCGTCAGGCCTCCTCCAGAGCAGTCTGAAGATCCTACTAGGTTAACACAGCACTCAGGAAACCAAGCAGGGCAGCTACCAACTGTGCCTTCTGCTCCGATGGTAGTATTAAATTCCAACATTCATTTTTTTCTGTCAGTGTTGAAACAGCAAAAAATAATTATTCCTGAAGTCATTTCTCAAATGTTCAAATGTTCTTTGTTTTAGAAACTCTGACTCCTCAAATTTGTTAAGCATTTTGAAAAGTTTCAGAGTTACAGCAAATGTGGGGGAAGTGTCCACCTTTTCTTTTCCTTCTTCTTTCAGTTCCTTCAGACAGTTTAGACAGTTTCTTGCTTTGTAGCTCAGGTTTACCTTTGACTCATTAGTCCTCATACTTCATCCTCTTGAGTGCTGGGATCGTAGTTGTGTACAGTCATGCCAGCCTGTGTATATTATGGTGATTAGTTGACTGCCTCTATTTTATTTATACTTAGACATAAACAATGTCTGTATACCTCAGATAGTTCTCTAGCAGCAGTCTAAGAAAATGAGTCCATCCAAGTCCAGCTGGGTGAACTAATGAGTGTATTGGGCTTATGAATGATGCCTAATCAGCTGTGTCACTGAAAAGTTCCACTCAGCATGAGTCATGGGTGAGCTGCTCCCAGAAGTTGTACAAAAGGAATCTATTCTTCAGTTAGTTTTCCGGCGATCATTTACTCTGGTCATTCCTGGCAGCACTTGTAGCAGGTTAGGGCATAAGAGGGAGAGAAGGTAGAATCTCAGGTAATAGTCTGTATTTGTTACAGACCCTTACTATAAAGGCAGCTTTATAGAAAAGGGGGTTTTTGTCGAGCTTCTGGGTAAAGAGTCTTAGGGTCCATGATAACAAATAACAAGATTGCAGCAGGTGAGAGACAAAGGCTGTGACAGGTCACCTCTTAAGCTATACACAAGAAGCAGAAACCTCCAAGCTTGCCCCCAGTGACACACTTCCTCCTGCAAGGCCACACCTTCTAAACCTCCAATAGTGCCAACAGCTAGGCTCAAATATTCAATATCAAGACTTATGGGTGACAACATCACATTCCAACCACCACAGAGCCAGGCAGTGGTGGCACACACCTTTAATCCCAGCACTGGGGAGTCAGAGGCAGGAGTATATTTGAGTTTGGGGCCAGCCTGGACCACAGAGCAAGTTTCAGGACAGCCAGTGCTATGCAGAGAAACTCTGTATCAAAAAACTTTCTCTGTATCAAAAAACAAAACAAAACAACCAAACAAATAAACCCAGCACATGTTCTAATGCCCTTTGTACACTTTTCTTCTGTGGAGAACTGGCCCAGTCTTTTGGAGGTCTCCTGAGTGCTGGTCATCACAGCTTCTGTGATAGTAGTGGCCATGTCATGCCTGGAAGACAATATTTTGTAACAACAGGAAATACCTGGTTTGCAAAAATTCCTTTTACTAGAGGTTATTGAATATTTTCAGTTTTTGCTGTCAGAAATGTTGTGATAATTTCCATAGTAATTTTATGAATAATGAGTTTATAAACTTTTATTTACGTATTTTAATTTTAGCAGAATACCTTGTCTCTAGCCTCCATACAGTAGACCTTCACATGATCGATTTTTAAATCCACCCATCATCTTCTCAAATTGGCTAATTCTGGACCATTTAAGCTCTTCTTTCCTTGGCAGGAAAAAGATTGAGAGTCTTTTCTTTGTCTCCTCCTGGAAGACCCCAAGCTGCTCCTTTGAATAAAGGTAGTAGGTTCTGCCCAGCTAAAAGACAGATGCACTCTGTTCTCTCTTGTAACCCCTACTGAGTAGTTTTCTCATTCATTCATTCATTCATTCATTCATTCATTCATTCATTCATTCATTTTTGTTGAAAGATTTAACTCCTTGGTCTTCTACAGAAAATTTAATTCCTCTAGCCTTTCTCATTTTTTTTGTCCTTCAATTTATGAAACCTGTAAGTCCTTAAAGTACTTGTTTCTCTTATCTTCATACATGTCATTGGTTTATAGTAATAAACCTAGCCAGTGCTTATGAATGGTTCATAGAATGGTGACTGTTGGATCATCGAAGGTACCAGGAACTAGCATATGTGAAAGCCTTGTAAACTCTGGAGCTCTCAGAGGTTTTCTTAATGAAACGATTATTCTTTATCTAAAGTTTCAGATCTTTAGTACAAAATTTTGACTGGAAGACTAGTAACTCCATTTTTTTGAGACAAGGCCTCACTTCAGCCTGGATTGGCCTTGGACTCACTATCTTCTTATCTCCAACCACAAACTGCTGAGGTTATATGCATAGGCCACCTTGCCTGGCCCCTACATTCATTTTTTAGTGTGCATTTTACCTGTAATACAATGTTGACTACAGAATCCAACGGCTGCCTATTTCTACATTATATGTTTCTATAATAATATTTCATATACGGATCTTGTAAAAATGAAGGGGTAAACTGAGCATAAATGTAAAAGCCCCCATGAACTCTTATGTCTTCTCCATGTGTGTAAGCAGTCCACTGAGTAACAACTTAGGTCTATCAGTTTCTAGAGATGTAGGTACAGATACAGAGCCTCACTTAACACCTTTCTTTGATTTTGTTTTTTTTTTTTTTTTTGTTTTGTTTTGTTTTGTTTTGTTTGTTTTTCAGTACAGTTTCTTTGTGTAGCCCTGGCTGTCCTAGAACTCACTTTGAAGATCAGGATGTGTGTGACTTCAGAGGTTTGCCTGCCTCTGCCTCCCGAGTGCTGGGATTAAAGGCATGCACCACCACTGCTGGCCTTTCTTTGATTTATAGCTTTGAAGTTTTCTAATTATAGTGTCAGAATGTATCTTTTTAAGATTTCCTACTGTCTTTTGTTTAATTAGTATTAAAAGTTTAAAATGCTCAGTGCTAACCATTCTTACAAAAAAGCTTGAAAATATTTATATGTACTCCTGAACTAAGTACTTCTTTAGTGTTATAGCTCAGGCTATCTCTTCTTACTCCTGTTCATAACTGTGCAGTTCAGGCATTATGTAAGACATAAATAATGACAGCTTTAAGATGCTCTCAGTCAAAACAAAATGTAATTATTACCAACAAAAATTATACAGCTAAATACTATTAGTGGGATAGTATTTATCAACTCCTCCTTGGTTTTTATTTTGTTATGAACAGCTCTTGGTTGTCCATGAATTACTATAATACACTTTTTCTTGTATTGACCTCACACTTGGTTGACCTCAAATTTGGTATACAGCTCTTCTTATCCTTCTGTTCCCACACCCCAAGTGTTGAGATTACAGACATGCATCTGGAGTACACTTCTTAAAAAAAAGATTTATTTACCTATTTTTATGTATGTGAGCCTGCATGAGTTTATGTTCTCCACATGTATACAGGGGCCAGAGAAGCCAGAAGAGTGTATCAGGGCCCCTGAAACTGGAGTTACAGACATCTGTGAGTTGCCATGTGGGTGCTGGACCTGAATCCAGATCCTCTGCAAAAGCAGTAAGCACATTTTACCACTCAGCTTTCTCTCTAGGCCCTGGAATACACTTGCCCTTTAAATATCATTTCATTTAAACTTTTAATGATCAGATTTTTTTTTTTCTGTAGGAGAACTTAGCAATTATTTTTACTATCATCATTTGAGTGGTAAGACCAATAGAAATTTATAATGAACTAACATCAAGGCATAAGAGACATACTTTTAAAAAAATTTAACTTCCATAGAAGCTAAATAAATTCTAGTAAACTTTGCAACTATTATTTTAGCTATTTCAAGTAAGTTTTTAAAGTTTCAATCAAGATGCATATAAAATTGTTAAGAATTTTTCATAAATTCTTTCCCTCTAGAAATTACTATCTGTTTTATATAAGGATATATTTTAAAATAATTGTTATAATTTGTGATTATTCCATTAAAATTATTAAATTATACAATAATGACAAAATCGCACACACACACACACACACACACACACACATATATATATATATATATTTTTTTTTTTTACAGTGTTAGGTTGGCAGCCAAGGTAAACAGATGTTACACTACTGAGTCGTAGACTCTCTGAATTCATTAATTTTTAAATCTGTCTATCTCATGAACCAACAATAAGGCAACTTCTTAGTCTGGATCTATTTAATAAGAGAACTACTCTATTTGGGTATAAGAATTTTAATATTCAGTAAGTTGCTGATCTGCCACTCATAAATGTCAAACATACATTTACATCTAGAAATCACAAATATGAAGGATGGTATTAAAGTGGAAGAGAGCTGGTGGGCTTGGAAATTGTTGGTTCTTTGCTAGAGGACTGAGGGCGCTCTGCCTGCGTCACTGATTTGACTGAATTGCGAGCTTTGCACTTTCTTTATAGAATCCTAAATATTTCACATCAGAAAACCAAAATAATTGGAAGTATGAATAGTGAAGAAAAAGCCTTTTTGGTTTCAAACAGATTTCACATTTTAAACTTCCATTTATACTCCAAATAACTTTTCCTCTGTCAGGCAATTAGCTGCTGTCTCATGTAGCATTAGTACATGGTTACCCAGCTGCCATAGTTGCCCTGCAATCAACGGCCTTCTATTTTTATGGCTTAAGCCCCCCTTCTTGGGCCAATGAGTATGTAACAAAATAAGGCAAGAAAATAAACTTTATTATTCAAGATCATTTGAATGCCATTAAAACTACAATGAATGAGGTAATTTCCAGATAGAAAGGAAATAAAATGAAAATAAAAATACTCTAAATGAATCCTTACCCTCTCAGTGAATGAAAATCTGCATTTAAGAGAAAGTACTTTTAGTATTTTAATAAACCACTTTAAGTATTTTATTTTAATAAGAATCCTTTCAAATAAAAATGGAGGATTTTGTTTTTGCTTTTATATCAGTTTTGCTTTGTAACAATTTCTGTTTATGTTGGTCAGCATGTTCTCCGTGTTGACTTTACTACTGCTTCATTACATCCCCATCCTTCTTTGGTACTTAAGAATCAACTGTGAGCCAGGTGTGGTGGCACACGCCTGTGATCACAGTGTAAGTCCAGGAGAGCCGAGGCTACACAAAGAAACCCTATTTTGAAAAAACAAAACCAAACAAACAAGCGAATGAATGAATGAATAAATAGTGTGACTTACTGTTACATTCCTAGTCAGTAGAGGATCAGTAAACATTGATGGAAGTAAACAATTGGATCCCTGTGTACACGTAGACTACTTGATCCTTCAGGGAAGTAGCCTTGTTTGTGTCAGTCTCAGTTATTTTTCCAGTGTCTGATTCATTCACAGACAGATACTTGATTCACTGTGGTGGATCTATGAATATGTGATTCATTCTTTTCTTGTCCTTCCTTTGTTCCTTCATTTTCCCTTTCTTCATTTTCTCTTCCTCTTTTTTCTCATCTTCTTGTGTGTGTGTGTTTGTATGTGTATGATACTGAAGATTATACATACGTAGGCCTCATGCATGCTAGGCAAGTGCTGTATCACTGTCCTCAAATCTTTTTACCTTTTAAAAATGTTAAGACAGGGACCCACTTAGTTGCCCATTCTGGCCTTGACCCTAAAAATTCTCTGACCTGAACCTCTGCAGTAGCTGGGATGCAGGCCTAGTCCACTGAGCTTAGCTACTGTTTCTTTCTTGTACAAATATCCCAGTGCTTAATGCAATGCCTGGCATAGTATATTTGGTAATGAATTGCTAATCTTGTTAGATGTACCGTGATTGTTCTTGGAACTTTTGTCTTTTTTTTCCTTTTATGTTTGTGGTAGGGTCTTGGTAAGTAGCATCTGCCTCCTGATTAATGGTTTCTGTGTTATGATATTTTATAAAGTATATTAATTTTACCCTTCTACAGGATTAGTTTGGTTGGGTATAAGTTCCTTGTACCTAATTTTTCATCAGGATTTCAAAACGTGTGCTTGATGTGTTTTCGGTGAGATGTTTGATACCTGACTCTCCACCTTCCACCTCATACACATTTAATTTTTCTTACTACTTAAAGGCCTTTATGGTTTTATTTTTTAAGCCCGCTGGTATGCAGTGTTGTAGTCTAGTTATTTTTGTTTTTCGTGCATCCTAGCTCTTCAGCTATGTGAAATTTGCTTTGTTATTTCTTTGAGATGTTTCTGTTTTCCATTGTTTGTATTCTTTTCTAGAATTCCTCCTAGATTTGGAAACTTTGTTTTATTCTAAGTGTCTCTCTTTTTATGTCTTATCTTTTGATTGGTATTTTATTTATTTATTTTTTATATTTTATTTATTTATATTCATTTTACACCCTGATCTTAGCCCCTCCCTCCTCTACTCCCAGTCCCAACCTCCCTCCTTCTCCCTTCGTACTCCCCTATTCCATAGAGAAGGGGAACCTCCCCATTAATCCACCCTAGCTCATCAAGTTGCATCAGAATTGAATGAGTCCTCTTCTCCTGTGGCCTGGCAAGGCAGCCCCTCCAAAGGGAAGTGATGAAAAAGCAGGCAACAGAGTTCACGTCAGAGACAGCCCCTACTCTCCATACCAGGGAGTCCACATGAAGTCTCAGCTGCCCATTGGCTACCTGTGTAGGAGCCTAGGTCCAGAGCATGCAGGGTTCTTGGTTGGTGCTTCAGTCTCCACAACCTTCTCTGGGCCCTGGTTAGTTGGCTCTGTTGGAGTTCCTGTTACTTCTGGGTCCTTCTACCCCCCCACCCCCACCCCACACTTTTCACAAGACACCCTACACTTCATCTCATGTTTGGCTGTTGGTCTCAGCATCTGTGTCAATCTGCTGCTGGGTGAAACCTCTGAAGACAGCTTTGCTAGGGTCTGTCTTTGAGCATAGCAGAGTATCATTAATAGTGTCAGGGGTTGGCTCATTCTTATGGAGTAGGTCTCCTATTGGGCCAGGCATTGGATGGACATACCCTCAATCTCTGCTCTGTCTTTTTCCCTGTATATCTTGTGGGCAGGTTAAGTTTTGGGTTGAAGTTTTTTATCTTTCTTTTATACAATTATTCTATTGTTTGATCATACCAGGGCCTTCTTTATTTCAGTGTTTAAATTTTTATTCCTTAGATCTGTATTAGAGCTTTTTGAATACAGATGGTTCCCACTTTAAAGTGTTCAACTTACAAGTTTGATATGAATTTTCTACTTTACAGTAATATGAAAGAAATTCAGTACATATCCAGTAGAAACCATTTCTAGAATTGAAGTGTGTTCAGTGTTTTCCTGGACTAGAGATACATAGCAGATACTCTAGCAGTGATGGACATGGCCAGTGAGCTGCAGCTCCACCAGTCTCAGCATCCTGAGGTCCAGTGTACCATGTCACTAAGCTGTGATACAATAGGGAGACTAAATCCCTTTTCACTCAAGATATTACTAACTTGTAATAGGTTTTCCAGGATATTACCCATTGAAGGAATATCTGTATGATATGTGCTCTCATATTTGAAGCATACTTCTTTTCAGTCTCAGCTGTGTTTTCCATTGTTACTGTAGGATTTGCTTTTCTGATACTAATTATAACACATCTTTTCCCTGGTAGCTCATGCCAGTTTTGTAGACCCTTCCACACCTGGCAGAGCTTACAAGCCTGTCAGCTACATTCACTTCCAGCATCTGTAGTGAGGACAAAACATGCTACCTTTGGAGTATACCAGAAGACCCTGGTATGGACTTGATGGCTAATGTTAGACAGGGGCTCTAAGCATGCAGTGTCACTGCTAAGGGGCAGGCTTCTGTGGTAATGAAAAGGGGGAAGAAACACTGTTTCTCTTGTGGACTGTGCCCATCCATTTTCCTTCCTGCTGCACAGTCCTTTGGCTCCTCAGACCTTACAATTATTTTGGAAACTTTTTCACTTTCTGTCAACACTTGGCAGGTGGGCATTCTGTCTTGCTTTTTTTCTTTAGTCCATACATATGCCTTTCCTGTTGTAGGTATGTACTGACATTCTTGATTTATGATCTCATAAAAATCATGTCTTCTTTGTAATGCTGTATGTTACAAGGGTTTGGAGTTGAAAGATGCACTGCTCCGAGCACTATCTTGATCAGAGCATATGATTAGGAATTCAACAGCGAATGTATATCCTTAGTAGGACGTACATACATACACAGTGGAAAATAGACAAGCACAGATGTAGCTAATACTAATATTGTAAAGGTATCCACATAATTGTTTTTGTTGAATCCATATTGTATCTATGAAATCATAGAGCCACAGCATTTTTAGTATATTACTTTTGTAGCATTATAAAAAGCTAACTTTAGTTTTTTTTCTTCTTAGGTTGTTGGTGATTCAACCATCTTAAAAGTTCTTCAGTCCAACATTCAACATGTGCAGCTCTATGAAAATCCTGTCCTTCAGGAGAAAGCATTGACTTGTATCCCAGTCAATGAACTAAAAAGAAAATCTCAAGAAAAGTTATTCAGAGCTAGAAAGTTAGATAAAGGTAGTGGCTTCCGTAATGATTTATTGTTAATTGTGCCATCATTGCTAAATAGTAGTGCCTTTAGCTATGTGTGTACAATATAAATAGATAACCTATATATGTATGGATTTTTAAGAAGTATAACAATAATGGACACATATTTGCTTTTTAAAAAATATGTTGTGGTAACAGTAATGTAAAAAATTTCGTATACTACCCCTTTCAGCATTCAGTTCCTTGCAATTGAGAACTTTTATTCTGTTACATAACCCTTATCGCCGTCCTTTCTTTTTGTCGTATAAAATGGAAAGTCTACCCACTAAATGGTTATGTTCTGCCCTTTGCTACCCCCAGCTACTAGCAATCAGTGTTCTACTCTCTGTCTCTGATCTTGACTGCTCTATTGCATATAAGTATTTTGTGGTTGGCTTATTTGGTTTAGTGAAAGTTACCCAGGACTTATTCATATTAAAACATACCACAGAGTTGTCTTCTGTTGTGAAGATGGATGATCCATGGTGGACCTGTGTTGCTTTCATGTTTAGGTCTTGTGATACTGTGAACGTGGACGAACAGATATCTCTTTGAGACCTGGTTTTAGTTATTTGGTGTTTTAACTTGAAAGTGCTAATATGTTAATTCTAATTTTAATATTTTTGAGGAATTACCAAATTTTCCACAGTGGCTGTACCGTTTTTGCCCTACCCATCAGCAATGCACAGAATTTCAATTTGTTCTCATCTTCACCATCAGATGCTTTTTTCATACGTAATAACCATGTTAGTAGAGGTGAGATAGCATCTCATTTTAGTTTTAATTTGCTAATGATGTTGAACATCTTTTAATGGAAGTTTGTGTATCTTTCTTGAAAAAAATGTCTATTTAACATTTCTCTTAAAGGTATTTTTAACCTGAATATGCATTTTTATTTTAATATTGGTATATGTATGGATGTGGGACTTTATGGAATATACAGCAAGTATTAAATGGTATTTTGATGAATGTCTTTTTACTATGCTCAGACTGAACCTATTGTCTTACATATGTTAGACAAGTGGTCTACCACAGTCTTTAGTGTTTAAAGTAAGGTCCCAATAGCTTCTTGATCTTGCTGCCTCTGCCTCCCAAGTCCTGGGATTGCAGGCATGTTCCATCATGTCTGGCTTTAGTGAGTGTAACAGAATTTAATCCTAAAAGGTAGGCAGGTTCACTTTTGTTTATTAGATATTATTTATTGGTGCAGAATAATTTCGCTACAGTTGTCTTTGTATAATCTCAGGGTTGCTACTTAAACCAAACAACCTCTTTGCCTCTGTTTCTTCATTTGGAAATAAAAATAATTAAAAGAACAAATGAGGTGGTACATTTAAACAGCCCCCCCAAAATAATTTGACCCTTATGATCATTTGTTAACATTAATGGTCTCAGGATTTTAGTTGTTAATTTTTGCAACTGTAGGGCTGTTGCTTTTTTGTGTAATTGATATTTATCCAATTATCTAACTGTTTGGAACTATTTTTTTAGGAACTATTTTGGAGAAAGTGGTTGTCCTTTCTCCTTTATAATGAGCATTTTTAGTAATCTGTCTTCAAAGTAGTACTCATTTACATACACTGCAGACACCTTTTCAAATGGTTTCATTTCTTCTGTCCATAGTGATAGTGTTATCTTTCATTTCACTTTTCTATATATTGTGATTACTTAACGTATTGCTGTTATTTTTTTTTTAGATCAAAAACAGGAAAAGTAATGTTCTTTTTTAGCCTTAATGTGTTCTTTCCATGATGCTCTTCATTTCTTCATGTACGTTTCTAATCTGTATCATTTTCTTTTTTCCTGTTCTAAGATGAGAAATATATTGAAGGATTTTGAATAACATCCTATTTTTGAATAACTATACCCCTTATCTCCATAGTACCCCCCAGACTAAGGCTAGAAGGGCTCCAGCAAGCTGGACAAATTGACTACACTACACCTCAGACAAAGCTGAGAAAGATGTTGACAACTCTCAGTTTTGTTGTAAATTAAACATAAAACAGATGTGGGGCTATATAATGTTTATTATTAGTCCTAAATTTATCATGGCACTAATATCTATCAAAAATAATAAGACACAGACACCTGTTAATTTTATAATTGCCTTATTTACCTTGGTCCTAGCAAATATTCCTACCTACACTGTCTAAATCACCTCACCATCCATATCCCAGCCCCCATCCAATGCTATTCTCCTTAACCATCTTATCTTCCATCCATAATTTTTTAAATACTTGCTTTTTTTTTTTTTCTTCATCTGGGCCTTTTCAGGCCATTATTGGAGTCCTTCCTCCCAGCCCCACTAAGTTTCTTCTCTAGGCTAACCCATCATGGCATCCTCCTTCTTCCTCTCTTCCCGACTGTCTCCCGATTCTCATGATTCTCTCAGCCTCAAAACTTAAGGAACATTAGCCACACCTACCCCATTCTTCCCTACCCAAGTATAGGCCATTTAATGAACCAGTCAGGTATAATGTTTTAGGCAGGTTTACACAAACAAGGATAGGTGTATCTTACATGCAGTAACCAGATCTTGAGCACCAGCAATTAGCATTAGACCAACTTCCAACACAGTTTATTTTTAATGTGACTATGCCATGAGCATTGTACTGGAAAACTTATACATTATTGAGGAAAAGTAAGATGCTCTCTCAGTCAGTCCTTGTTCCCTCCATATAGTGTAGTTCTTCAAAATTCGTTCTATAAAAAAGTAATTAATTTGTGTGGCATTTATAAAAATGTATTGCCTCATATATATTCAGTTCCTTAATAGTTTTCATTTATATATCAGGGACATCTTGTTAGGTCTCTATAAAACACTGTAGTACATGTATATTGAAATGCTGTAGTATATATATATATATATTTAATCTCTACAGTTACCTATGGATGGGCACTGGGATTGTTGACTGCTTCGTGTGTGTGTGTGTGTGTGTGTGTGTGTGTGTGTGTCTGTGTCTGTGCACGCGCGCTGAATGCTACCTGGTGAAATGCTAATGAAACTTGCCTCCTTGTCATTGAAGAAATTTCCTCTTGCCAATGGCCTATGGTCTTCTTTCATAGAAGGGCAGAGTATTTGTACTTCTGATACTGATGTTACTTTAACGGGGTGGTCAGTCATCACTTATTTGTGAGGAGGTTTTATGTGTTCTAGATTGATTCTATTCTTTGCTAGACACATTAGAATTTTGCTACCCCTGACCTCAATGTTCTTTATTAGTTCATTTGGTGTATCTTCTGAAACCAGGACTTTTAAGTGACTTAATTTTCCATTACTGGCTTTATATTATTGGTTGTATCTTTCTTTTAAGAAAGCCTTCTCAACCTGAGGAAATGGCTTGAGAGTAAATTGCTTGCCACACATGAATGAATTCCTGAGTTTGAATTCCCAGAATTCACACAAGACTGATGTAGTAGCATCTATCTATAAGCGGAACACCTATAGGAAGATGATTGATGGAAACGGGAATACTAGAAGCTCAGAGTAACAGAAAAGAGATGCTGACTCAAACAGTGTGGAAGGCTAGGATCCACACCTGAGCTTGTCTTCTGTGCACCATGACACATGCATGCATAAATGTGGATCACACGCAAGCCTGTGTGTACTTGCAAGGCCTTCTCTAATCCAGTTATAAACACACTGCCTGATAACTCTTTTTGTAGTACTCTGGAGAAAGGCTGACTTCTTTAATAAATGCATTTAATAAAGGCTTTAACAGTATCAGATATCCAGGTAGCTACTTGTCTCAATTTAATGGCTGGCCCATTCTCTTAGCATTTTCATGTGTTTGTTATTGGTTTTGAGATACTGTTTTCCTGTGTATCTAGACTGGCCTGGAGTGCTTCTTGCCTTAGCCTCCTGAGGGCTTGGGATTACAGGCCTGCACCATCACATGCAGTGCCAACTTTATCAAATACTGTTGATTCACTTTAAAACTTTTTTTACTGATACAAAGGACCTGGCTTAAAAAGAATAAAGAGGTTTGTCTATAAGTACTCTTTCTTGTTTCATTGATATATTTTATAGTAATGAAATATTTATTCAAAATTGTAATTAAATTTACCTTAAAAATTTTTCACAATGCACTAAAAAAAAACTAGGCTATTTCATAAATATGCACATCATCACTAATTAGAGTGGTCTTTGGGTAAATGACAAGTAACCCTGTACTGTGTAGATAATATACACAGTGCTGATTACCTTGTCAACCACTGAACAAGCACTTATTGCCATTGTGGTTCTTGATGAGAACTGTACTAGCTGTTTTTGTGTTGTTGTGTTGTGTTTTTGGTTTTTTTTGTTTTTTTGCAGTGCTGAGGTGAAACCCAGTGCCTTGCACATATCAAGCAAGTGTTACCTGTTTGAGCTAAGTTGCCAGACTCTGTTGCATTTTTAGTGCATCTTCTTTTTCATGTGAATTCTGTAGTACATAGAATTTTGTGGGGGGAAAAAAAAAACCTTTTATAATTTTAATTGGGGTTCTATTTAATTTCAAATTAATTTGTGGAGAATTAACAAATTTAAAAGCAACAAGTTTTCCCATCAGAGAACACTGTGTATTGCTGATTTTTGAAATATATCAAACAAAGCTATGAGAGAATACAGTACAGTTGACCCTTGGTCAACATGAGTTTGAACTATACATGTTCATTTATAAGTGGATATATAAATTAAGAAAATGTTTCATATGTCACATGCATGTACATGTATATCATAGTTCATTTTACCATTGGTTCTGTTTTTCTGTACACATAAATACAGTGTTAAAAGTTAAACTTAGTTTGGGTTGTGGTTCAGTATTTACTTAGCATGTATGAGACCCTAAGTTCCATCCTTATCAGTAAAATTTTAAAGTGTAATCCATCAAAAGTTAATTCATACAAGCAGACTACAATGATGCCAATCATACTTGAGAAATTCAAGCAAATATAAAGATGCAGTACTGTAACTGCCTAATGTTAGCCATAGTGTCAGTGTCAAGTGTCCCAGCTTTTTATACGGAGCAGTAATGGGATGGCATTGACAGCCAAGTGCAGCAAACAGAACCTTTTTGTTGTACCTATAAAGGCCTCTTTCAGCAATGACAGTGTGTTTCTTTTTAAAGTCTTGTTTTTTATATGCCTTTGAAGATTTTTAAATTACTTCACATGCTGAGATTTTTAAGAACTTAATGTAAATTTACTACTTGATTTTAAAAGATTAAGTACATTGCAAATACCTGTTAATAAAGGGCTTAGATGACTTTTAAAAAGTTTTGCAGGAGCTAGAGAGGTGGCTCAGTGGTTAAGAGCACACTGGCTTTTCTTCCAAAGGATCTGGGTTCAATTCCCAGCACCCAAATGGCAGCTCATAATTGTCTGGAGCTACATGAAATAAAAATATTTAAAAAGAAAAACAAGCCAGGTGTCCTCTGGTGTGTGCCTTTAATCCCAGTACTTGGGAGGTGGATCTCTGTGAATTTGAGGCCAGCCTGGTCTACAAAGCAAGTCCAGCCAGTCAAGGGTACACTGAGAAACCCTGTCTTGAAAAACAAAACAAGACATAAAATAAAACCAACAAATATCAGCACTCCTAGTGTTAAGGAATAATATTTCAAACACCTGTGACTAACATCATATGGTTTAGATTTTAACATTATACTATGTTTTCTTCATTAATATTTTTACTTATTTTAATAACAAAACATTAAATGTAGAGATAAGTGTAGCCAACATTAGCTACTTTATGAGTTCTTTCTTCCACTCTTCTCCAACCCTTTCAACCTCCTAACACTAGATGAGAGGCCAAAACAGAATCGAAAGGAAAGAGATTCCTGAGTAAAGTCAGAAGTCAGAAAGGGGACATCATTATCATTAGACTACTTCCTGCTAAGTAGGGCTGTTGAATTCCTTGGAACAAGTTTCATCTTCGAAGTCAGGATATCTAATTTTCTTTTGTTTCTTCGTTGCACACCACTTAAACTGTGACCAATGGCAACCAACCTACAACACACCCCACTTCTCAGGGCCCTAGCATTTATATACCCTCAGAAAAGTCCCCAGAATTCCAGATACCACACAATCACAGAAACTATCTGCAGTTGGCAAAATGACGACCCCGCCAGAGCAAGAGGTAAATCATCATCAGCTTCTGCGAAGCAGCCCATATCCCCACACCTAGATTCAAAGGCAAATAAGTAGCCCCAGATCCCCACACCCAGGATTAAAATAAAAACATATTCTTATATTTCTGTGTCTTTTAAAGAATCCAAAATTTTCACTGCAGATGAGGGCTCACAAGATGGCCCAGTGGGTAAAGGTGTTTGCCTCCAGTCTGATGACCTGGGTTCAGTTACCAGAAGCCACTTGATAGGAGGAAAGCTCTAATTTCTGAGAATTGTTCTTTCACCTCCAGATGGATGCAAAGCCACTCCCACCTCCAAGCAAATAGATGTAAAGCTTATACACACAGGACAGGAGAGCCTCTTGTGTTGTGCCTCCCTGATTTTGAGAAAAGCAATGGTCTTTAGTATGGTCAGAGGGGCTGACAAGATACCTTAGCAAGTTAAGCCACTTGCCACCAGTCCTAACAAGTTGAGTATTTTCTCTGAGGACCCACATATTAGGAGGGAACCAATTTTTACAAGTTGTCCTCTGACCTTCTGAGTGTGTTGTGGCACACAGTGCCACGCATACACACACACACACACACACACACACACACAAGTAAATGTAATTTTTAAAATAGATATGATAGGAAATGGTGCTTTATTGATAAATTGGGCAAAATATTTTGTGTCATGCTTACTTGTTGGGGCTATTTTGTATATTCTAGATATGCTTGTGTGTTTATGTCTTTTGGGATGCTTGTATATTGCACAGTTGAAACACTCTTCCTTGCATGTTTTGTTTTGTTTTTGTTTTTAGATACAGGGTTTCTCAGTGTAGCCTTAGCTGTCCTGGACTCAGTTTGTAGACCAAGCTGGCCTTGAACTCACAGAGATCCAATTACCTCTGCCTCCTGAGTGCTTGGGATCAGAGGCATGTTCTACCACGCCCAGCTTCCTTGCATGTTCTTTGTGAAAGCTTTTACCATCTTGCATTTTCATATATTTCTACTCCCAATTTGAGCATAAAATATATAGAAGTTTTGGATTTTGTGGGCTTGAAACCTTAACTGGTTCTCTCCTAACTTCCAAGGTACTAATATAAGCGATGAGGACTTCCTTCTACTGGAGCTCCTGCACTGGTTTAAAGAGGAGTTTTTTCACTGGGTGAATAACATCGTGTGCACCAAATGTGGTGGAGAAACTAGGTCTAGAGATGAAGCATTGCTGCCCAATGAAGATGAGCTGAAATGGGGTGCAAGCAATGTGGAGGATCATTACTGTGATGCCTGCCAGTTGAGCAATCGCTTCCCAAGGTGGGTATCTGCAAAGTGAGGTTATGGGGCTAGCTAAGTGGGGTGGTTAATAGGGATTTATTATTAAATTAGGATTTTATTCTCTATCTTAACTGGACTTGATAATTCTTTAGGACAGAGGTCTACACAGTAGACCAGCAGACTAGACCCAGCTATATTCACAGTCTCTGGCTTGTTGGAACACAGCCACAATGACTTAGTTACTGCTTCTGTGACAGTTTTCAGGATACAGCAGAATTTTTGAACACTGATGACTATAAGATCTAAGACCAAAATATTTATTGTCTCCTTTTCTGTCTTTTCTGTCTGTCTCTTCATTGTGTGTGTATATCTTTGTGTCTGTGTTTTGTGCAGCCTTGGCTGTCCTGGAACTTTGATCTTCCTGCCTCTATCTGTTGAGTGCTGAGATTGCAGACATGTGTCACAGTGCAGTTTATCCAGTGTTGGGGACTAAACCCATAGCTTTATGGATGCTAGGTAGATGCTTTACCAGCTGAGCTAATCTCCAGCCCTTACTGTCCCCTTTTATGCAAAGTTTGTTGACTCCTATTCTAAAGTATAAAATTTTAAACATATTTATACCATTTAAATTCTGAAAGTATTGTGGTATACGGAGACAATATTAATAATAGTGATATCATTATGATAGTAAACACAGTATTGTCTTTATGTTGTTTTTAATTATCAGATATGGGGGTAAAAGTAACTTATAAAGGCGGAAAGTTATCTTAATTAGGACTTTCTCTGTCCCAGCCTTTCATATCTAGCTCAGTCTCTGCATTTTGTTTTTCTTGTTTGGTTGATTGATTTCTTTTTAATTTTTTTTTCTTGTTGTTTTTTTCTTTTTTGTTGTTGTTTGGTTGGTTAGTTTGTTGGTTGGTTTGGTTTTCTGAGACTGAGTCTTGCTGTGTAGCTCAAACCATTATCATCTTACATGCTATAGTCACATGTATGTGCCACTGAGCTTGAATAATTATATCTCCATTTTAAACTTGGGAAATTAGAAATTTTCAACTTACTTTCTCCAACTTTTAGCTTATAAGCCTCTTGTTAGATTTTCTTAAGAGGCAACACTTAGGAAGTTTAATTCTGTTGCCCAGGAGGAGAAGATGCAGTGTGTTTGAAAAGCCTGTTCTGTAGGACTTTAGGACTCAGTCCTGTCCTAATTTGGAACCAACCCTATTTTATACATGAAAGAATGTATAATACCCAGTGGTTATCTAAAACCAGCTTTGTTTTGTTTTTCTTCGGCATACATTTACACACCACAATTAAATTAGCAATATAGTACAGAGTTGTGGTACTGGCTAGTGTATTTATGCATAGTATAGTGTATTTTCTAATCATTTACCTGATATACTTGTGGTTGTTTCTTGTACAAATTTGGAATAAACAAGTTTTGGGGTTTTGTTATATTTTTTAGTGCCAAAGCAGAACTTGAGACCTCAGTGTTGCTGGTACAATGCTTCACCACTGAGCTATCACTCTTGGTCTAGTCCATTTGACTTGACCCAAGACCAGAATGCTCCAATTCTTTGTTATGTCTTAATGTAAACTTATATCTCTTTTAGAGTACTAAATTCATTTAATTTAGCTTAAACTAAGGGTCTGCTCAGAAGATTTGTCTTTGCAGAGACAGTTCATTCCTGGCACTACTTCTTTTTTTCCCAGGTCTAGAGCTAGCTTTTTTCTTCAGCATAAGCAATGGACACATACCAGTCTTTCTCATTGCAGAGTGAAAATCTGAGTGCCCTCCATTCTTCTGATAAGATTGTACTTGAAATAACTTTTGGGAGGATGCTGCAGATATCATGCTTGTAAATTAGAAAGCATCTTTAAGTGTGTCCAAAGAATTCATAAAAATCATTATTAAAAAGAAAACTGGAATTTATACTAAATTAAAATCTGCGTATGGGTGAGGAGTTCAGGTGTGTGTATATGCACAGATGTGTTTACAAGTACACAATGAAAACCAGGGAGAATGTCAGAAGTTCTGTTTAATCATTCTCTGCCTCATTCCCTTAAGATGGGCTTTCTCACTGAAACTGGAGCTAGGCTGGTGTCCTCCTGTCTTCATCACCCACAGAACTAGCTTACAAGTATGCATGGTCTCACCCAGCTTTTTACATCAGTACTGGATCCAAACTCTGCAGCAAGCATTCTTAACCCCGGAGCCATCTCTCCAACTGCTAATCCCCACAGCCCTGGTTTGGGTTTGGGTTTTTGGAGGCAGGGTCTCAGGTAGCACAGGCTGGGCTGGAGCTCTGAATGCAACCAAGAATGACTTGAATTTCTAATCCTCCTCCTCCCCCCATATACTACTTTATATGGGGTTGAGCGAACCAAGAGTTCATTCATGACAGTTGAGTATTTTACCACCTTAGCAAAATCCTTGCCCCTGCCTCAAGCTAAATTATGTTGAGCAGCTTTTAAAGCTAATTACCTTTTGAACACAGTAAGCTAATTTGATTGCAAGAGAACCATTGAATGTCTTAATCACATTTCTTAGAAAGCCTGTCCATCTAAAATAAATCTTATTTTTTGAAACCAATCAAGATGAAGACTCTCTTACTATTTCCCACTTCTTACATAAAATTCCATTCATTCTGCCCGTCAGTTGGCCATCAGGCTCAGCATCTGCTTTGACAGTCTTCACGGCAGAGGCTTTCAGAGGCCTTCTGTGGCAGGTTCCGAGGTTGTTTCCTGTTTTCTTCTTCTGGCTTTCACAGGCCCTCTGTAGCAGGTTCCTAGGTTGTTTCCTGTTTTCTTTTTCTTCTGATGTCCATCCTCTTTGCCTTTCAGGATGGGGATTGAGTATTTTTAGTTAGGGTCCTCTCTTTTGCTTAGTTTGTTTAGATGTACAGATTTTAGTGGGTTTATTCTATGTTGTATGTTTATATGGGTGAGTGTATACCGTGTGGTGTGTCTTTTTGCTTCTGGGACAACTCACTCAGAATGATCCTTTCCAGGTCCCACCATTTGCCTGCAAATTTCATGATTTCCTTATTTTTCATTGCTGAGTAATACTCCATTGTATAGATGTACCACAGTTTCTGCATCCATTCTTTAGTTGAGGGGCATCTGGGCTGTTTCCAGCTTTTGGCTATTACAAATAAAGCTGCTACAAACATGGTTGAGCAAATGTCCTTTTTGTGTACTTGAGCCTCTTTTGGGTATATGCCTATAGAGCTGGAAAGGACAGGAACTCCACAAGGAGAGCAACAAAACAAGAAAATTTGAACACAGGGAACTTCCCAGAGACTCATACTCCAACCAAGGACTATCCGTGGAGATAACCTAGAACCCTGACAATGCAGCCACTTCTGATGAGAACTGATAGATTAAAATCAGAAAGAAGGAGAGGAGGACCTCCCCATCAGTGGACTTGGGGAGGGGCATGCATGCAGAAAGGGGGGGAGGGTGGGACCAGGAGGGGGCTTATGGGGGGATACAAAATGAATAAAGTGTAATTAATAAAAGTTAAAAAAAAAGATGAAGACTCTCCTCTGCAGCTGTTACATGGCTTGTATTACTGATACTGAGTATGATGATTTGGATATGCTAATCAGTGCACTTACCTTCTTTGAAGTGATAGCACCTATTTTTAATTAATACTAAAACTGAGTGGTACAGTGAACTATACTCAATAAAGACAGTTCCGCTGTTTAAGCATGTTTCATATAGACTAGCCTTGTTTAGGCTAGGTACTTTAATATTTTAAAATAACATACTAAGAATCATGATTTGTGTTTACAAGTGATATAAATTCTTTAAAAATTGGATTTTAATCATGAATTACAGATGTTGTCTTTGTTATTGTTTTAAACCAGATATAACAACCCTGAGAAACTTTTGGAAACAAGATGTGGACGCTGTGGCGAGTGGGCCAATTGTTTTACACTGTGCTGCCGTGCATTAGGGTTTGAAGCTCGCTATGTGTGGGATTACTCAGGTACAGCATGGGTCAGAGAGAGGAAGGGAGAGCAGAAGAAGGGAGAGAGGACAGGATAGGCTTGGAGTTGAGGTTTACAGCCTAAATCCCTCTTTTTCTTTCTACCACCTGAGTTTTCTGTTTACCTTCTAGAACAGCAGTAATAGCCTCGTAGGCATTTTTAAAGCACTATAAGATTTGTAGCACAGCTACTCTGTTCTTGCTTCTATTCATGACATTCACAGTAGCCCTGTTCCATGTAGCTAGGAATGTGTAATAATGTGCTGTAGAGATCATTTTTAGAGGGGTTGCTGTAGTTGACATAGTAAGCCTATATGCATTCCACACAAGCACTCTTGGAAGCCTTGGTATTTGATATTTCTACATTTAGAAATGACTCATGCTATGTCCATGTTGAATGTTTCTTTCCCTGTTCCAGAGTTTACCTAGTGTTTCCACTGTTATTTTAGGATTAGTTAAAACCTTCAGTTTAATAGTCTTTTCTCAGAATCAAATATTTAGCCTTAAGCAGGGCATGGTGGCACATACCTGAAGTCCTAGCACTGGAGAGAGGTTGAGGCAGGAAGATTGAAACCAGCCTGGGTATCCATTTACCTATTGATGAGACTCCATTTCAAAACCAAATCTAGACCATGAATAACCAGATAGCCTGTTAGGCCTCCTTCTGGGTCCAGAGAAAGGTTGTCATCTCAGAAGTTACAGCTTCTCATTCCTTCACAGCTTAGTAGTTTTCATGCTCTTAAAGCTTTGCCTGCCTCTTTGACCTCCCCACCCCCCAAGGGAGGAGCAGTCCTGTTAGGCCACAGAGGAGGACTTTGCAGCAGTCCTGAAGATACCTGATAAAACAGGGTCAGATGAAAGGGGAGGAGGTCCTCCTCAATCAGTGGACTTGGAAAGGGGCAGGGAGGAGCTGAGGGAGGGAGGGTGGGATTGGGAGGCCACAAAATTCTCCTGCTAATTAACTAAAACTTAAATATTAAAAATTAGTTTATTATGTGATTCTTAGAGGATTACACACAGTTACCGGAAGATATTCTTGCGCTTTAAACTTAATTTGTGTTTTCCTTTTCTTTCTCTTATTGCACTCGAGTAGACCATGTTTGGACGGAAGTCTATTCTCCAGCTCAGCAGCGGTGGCTGCACTGTGATGCATGTGAAGACGTCTGTGACAAACCTCTCCTGTATGAAATAGGATGGGGAAAGAAGCTTTCCTATATCATAGCATTCTCTAAAGATGAGGTAGGACATAAGAGGAAAAAAGATCCAAAGATAAAATACACATCTTTTAAAGTGTATTTGACCTAAGGATCATATACATTTGTAGTCTGCTGTTTACTATGTGTCATTTGTATACCCCATAAACTCATTGTAATCAGTGTTTAACTCTGTGGTTTCACCAAGAGATGTTTGTATCCATTTATCTATAGATGGATATTGGGTGAGTTCAGTTTTTAATATTTTAAGTTAAGTTGCTACAAACATTCAGTTATATGCATGTTTTTTTCCTCTCTTTTTGTTTTTTGCCTAGAAATGGAATGGTTCCATCTTTGTCCAATAAATTTTGCAAGAGATTAGCATCATTTTATTTTCTTTCCAGCAGTACATGAGACTTCTTGGTTTCTGCATATTACTTTTTAAATTTGGCCCTGTCAGTGAGACCACAGTTGTGCTTCCCCAATGACAACAGTGTGTTGGAACATGTGCTAAGTTTCACTTTCCAAACCTGTGTCCGCTTTGCCACTTTGTCCATTGTGTGCTTTCTTCTCTTCTGAGTTTGAAGTTTCTTTTTATATACTTAAGTTGTTTTTTAGAATTGTGAGCTGCAAAAATTTGCTTGATATGTGCTAAAGAAAAAAATCAGAATTCAAGTTTAGAATGTTCTGGTACAGATTTTACTTTTCATGTATCTAAGAAAGTTTTGCCTGCCTCATGACAATGATTTTCCCATTTTCTTTTGAGAGCTTTACAGTTTTAGTCTGTTGAAGTTATTTTGAGTATCTAGATAATGAGCTGTTCTGGCGTGGTCGGCAGGGAAGATTGGACTTGTGTCCTCTCTGCCAGAAGTCAGTTCTGTAATAATATAGTAATGAGGGTAAAGTTTTGTTTGATTAATTCTTCAGTGGCAGCAGCTTTAACCTATGAAAACCAAATATTCTGAAGACTTATTTATCAGTACTGTGTTAAAAAAAAACTAAAATGTATTCTTTTCAATGTCTTTCACATTCATTTTGTTTTACTGTGATAGTTGAGGTTGGCCTTGAAGTCCTGGATCTACTTCAGCCTCCTGAGTGCTGTGTTAGGGTTGTAATCTATCATGCTCAGTTTTTTTTTTTTTCTAATTGTGTAATATTCTCAACTCTGGTTTTTAAATTTTAACAAAAGGTGATATTTTTCTGAGTTACATGTAAGTTTCTTGTATTGTAGCTATTTATAAAAAATAAAGGACCAGTGTTATTTTGTTAAATAGTTGTGTTTTGTAATTATTTCCAGGTAGTTGACGTCACCTGGAGATACTCTTGTAAACATGATGAGGTGATATCCAGGAGGACCAAGGTTAAAGAAGAGTTGCTTCGAGAAACTATTAATAGACTTAATAAGCAGGTATGTGGTGGCTGTCATTTTCAAGAGGACATTTGAAATCTTAGTATAATCGGGAATAGCCAGTTTTAATTCTGAATTTACTTACTGAGACAAGGTTTCAAGGTAACCTTGACCTCAAGTGCTAGAATAATATGTGCAACACCACACCTAGGTTTTAAAAATTACTTTTATTCTTTCAGAATTTTATATAGTGTATTTTGATCACATTCACCATTCTACAACTATTCCTAGAGCCACCCTACTCAACTTCGTAGCCTCTTTTTTATTTTTTATTTTTTTATTTTTTTTTTGTCTTAATTTATTCTGACTAAATACTTTTGGATATCAAAGGCCAGCTTTGACATCACAGGGTTAAACTGAGGCAGGTCATAGAGTCGGTGACTGATCACCCACTTTCTTTGGAACTGCTTGTTGCTGCTGAGGGGCCTTGTAGCCATCAAAGAGAAAAAGGGAAGAAAGTAGGGAAAAGAATCATACACATACATATACACACATACACACACCCATACACATTCACAAATTGGGTAGATGGAATAAACTCAAAAGAGCAATCTCCAATCAACTTTACATACATACACATATGCACACATACATACTGAGTGGATGGAGCAAACTCTGAAGAGTGAGCTACATCAACTTTATTTTTTTCTCCCACAGTTATATATATCCCAGCAAAGTCTTTCAAGCAGTACAAAAATCACAATGAAGTTTCATTCTATTTTTCTTTAGGTGAACAATTATAATGAGTAGACATAGAAAAAAACATGCTCTCCAATACCCTCACCTGATCAAATGCTCTACGTAGTATGGGTGAAAAACAAATTATTCCCAAGAACCCACATACATTTGTAACTAAGCAACTTGTTATAGATTAACAAAGTGTAAGCAAACAAGGTAATTTTCTCAGCCAGTTTGTCTTACTGGCAGGCTGCAATTTGCAGTTGCAAAGAAAGACTAAATCATTTTATTATTTATCTTAAAAAGTATAGATTTATATACTTAAAGATTTATAAAAATCTTTAAAGAATCACAAATCTAAACTTTATATAAAAAATAGCCACTTCTTTAAATCTTCACAGTGCATATCTACTCATTAACAATTTTTATTAAATCCTATCAGGAATCTGAGCACAAAAATTAATCATCACCTTGATCAGCAGTCCAGCTTGAGAGAGTCATGTCAGCCTGTGGTAATGTGGGCTATTATTCTTACTCACCCATTTCAAAAAGTCCCTAGCTCAACTATTAAGAGTGTAATTTTCTGAACTTCAAATTATGCCTCAAGATTTTCTACGTCAGGGCCACTGAAAAAAACATCTTAAGCTAACTTTCTAAAACTATTTAAATCAAGTCAGGAATTCTGTAAAATCATTAATTCATCTAAACAATATTATTTTATGGAAGTTTATCTTCATATTGATCTGCAGGAAAGTTGCCCAAATGAGTGGGCAATCACCCAGGAAACAGTCACACCAGACTATTGGCTGACTATAGGTCTCCCTACACCCGATCACACCATGCCAGAAATATGTGAAAGACAGCAGTGACAAACACAAAAAGGCACAGCAGCAGTAAGAAGCAATCCAGAGACAAAGCTACTGGGGCCAGGCCTCTCCAAAGTACACCCATTGCAGGCATGAGAAACAGTGGTCATCCCCTGGGTGCTCACCTGCCACAGCAGCTTCGCCTGCATGGCATCCACCATGTGGGTATGAGGCCTGTCCTTGGAGCTTGATCTATACCAGGAACCACACCCTTAAGGAAAATGGACTTTCTTTGTCCCAGCAACTGTCAGTTACCAATAGCTCCTTAGCTAGTGGTGGGACTTCATGCCCACATCCCTGCCTCCATGCTGGCATGTTGCCAGTCTTGACTTTGTACTGCAGGTCTTGTGCATACTGTCATTACTCTGAGTTTTATATGTGCAGCTTCCCTCCTGTGTCTGGAAAACACTGTTTATAGTCAACACCTCTATAATTGTCTCTTACAACTTTTCTACCCCCTCTTCTTCAGTGATCCCCAAGATAGATGTCCCATTGAGTGCTGAGAACTCTGCAGTCTCTTATTCTCTCTGTGGATTATGTAGTGCACAGGATGGAACCCAGGGCCTTAGGGATCCTAGGCAAACAGTTTACCAACTGAGCTACATACTCAGCTACCAATGAAATTCCTAAAGTTGTAGCATCTTTCTAGAGAGGCTACCTTAATAAGCTAGTGTCTTTTTATTCATGGAAAGTTTGGATAGTTCATTAAAGTATTACAGGATATTTTATGTTAAATGTCAAATTCCTTCTCAAAATTCAGTAAAATAGCATTTCATTTTTTTGGTTTGTTTGGTTTTAATTTTGGATTTTTGGGTCTCTCTGTGTAGCCTTGACTGTCTGGAATTCACTCTGTAGATCAGACTGGCCTTGAACTCACAGAGACCTGCCAGCCTCTGCCTTCCAAGTGCTGAGATTAAAGGAGATTAAAGGTAGTGACCACCTAGCTACTAAAACAACATTTCAATATTTGTAGCATTTTCATAAGAAGTATGTGTTTGTAGGCTTGGGACATAGCTCAGTAAATAAAGTACTTTCACCATAAACATGAAGATCTAAGTTCAGATCTCCAGAACCCATGTAAACTACAAATGTGGTAGCTTGCACCTGTAATCCCAGCACTTAGCAGTTTTACACAGGTAGAACCCATGCCCTTTATGGCCAACTAGTCTGGGTACCAGATGATTGAAATATCAGAATGCATTAATGGAAAAATAGAGTTATATTATATACATGAAGGTTTATTTGAAGTGCCTCTCATGCCATTCAGGGAGGTGGCAGGGAGGGAGAGAAAGGGAAGCATGTACAGAAAGAGGAAAGGAAAATAAAGGGGAGAAGAGGAGGAAAAATATAGAAAGAGAAAGGAGAGAAGAGGAGAGAAGGGGGGAACCAAAATGTCTGGATTATGTAGTGAAGGGCCTCTGGGAGAGGGGAAGCCCTGCCCCTGGGCTAAGGAATTCGGGGTAGAGGGCAGAATATGCCAGCCACACCCTGCAGCAGGTAGGGGCCCAGGATGAGATTTGTATTAAAGATCCTGTCTCAAAAGTAAGATGGAAAAAAAAAATAGAGGAAGAGAAGTGATGTTGACTTCTGGCTTCTATGCATGCACACATGATAGGCGCATGTGCATACACACACACACACACAATGTGTGAGAGTGCTCAAGAATGCATGCATGCACATGCTGAACACACACATGTGCACACACTATGTCATTACTGGCCTGTTAGTGGATGCTTGTAATCCTAGCAGTCCTAGCCAGTGAGAGGCTGACTGAAGCAGGAGGATAGTGAATTTCAGGCCAACCTCAACTACCTACATAGTGAGACCTCATCTGAAGAAACAAAAAGTGTCTTGTTTAATGTTCTAACTGTATCTTGAACATAATGATGCTCTTGTGTTTGTGTACAGTCATGTATATATGAAAGTACCCACATGTTCCTTGTGAAAATGTCTAAAATAGGCATGGAATGGTTATAGGAGAAAAAGAGCTAGGGGCCTGGGATGGAAAGAAAGATTATTTTATAACCCTCTGGTAGTATTTTGTGTATATATGCAGTTTTTGTGGTATTCTTAAAAACACCTAATTTAGTTCTGCCAGGCAACCAAAATGAAGCCAGTCATCTTAACCTGACTCTTGATTGATATGTGTGGTGAGGTCTCAGTCTACAGACTCACTTTTAAGTCCTATGAGGAGCTTTTTAGAGACCCTGGACTGGAAATCTAGAGAACACGGCTGGAGCATTTTGTATTTGATTTGGTTTCTCTGCCTTCGAGTCTGCTAGGAATTCTGTGTTGCTTCTCAGAGATTAAGCCCACAGTTTGTTCCTAGTGCTCAGCCTCTTCTCATATTGTTTACTAATTGGCAAGTCCCTGGGAGGGGACAGGGGTTCAGAATACTCCTCCACGTTAGTTCATTTTCCCCTTGGAATCCTCTCAGATCCTGTCTTCTTGGTAGCTTCCAGTTTTCTGCACTGAGTCAGTAACCCCAGCTCTCTGTGTGCGTGTGTGCACGTGTGCAAACATCTTCAGAGCTTTTCTTAGCAAAGCCCCTGGCGTGGCACAAGTTAGTACATCACAACCAGGAAGGAAGGTGCTCCCCACCTTAAAACTCCAGCAGTGCAGTCCATAGAGAGGTGAAAATGGTGCTACGAGATTCCTCAAATAAAGTACATAAAATTACATTAATCATAGTTTTGAATTCTCTAAGTAGTGTGGAAATAAACATGATCACTTCTTTCAAGACCTCTGAAAATATCAGTTATTATTTTGCTTAGAGATAGACTCCTGTGCTGTCCTAAACCCTGATTTTAAACATTAATTACAGAGACAGCTGTCATTGTCAGAGAACAGAAGAAAAGAGCTTCTCCAGAGGAAAATTGTGGAGCTCGTTGAATTTATATCTCCCAAAACCCCTCAACCCGGACAACTTGGTGGAAGGGTGTCTGGGTCACTGGCTTGGAGAGTGGCCCGAGGTGAGATGGGTCTAGAGGTATGTGTTCTAGTGAGCAAGCTGGCTTACACTGTGCACTTCCTGAAATCTGAGCTGACAGGAGATCAGAACAACTCTCTTCCTTGATGAGTGGGATATAGGGACAGATTTACTGTATGAAACAAGATTTAAAGCTCTTTTTTTCTTCCAACTAAGTAAAACTAAACACATTTCTAATAATCTGCTGCTTTTGTGGTTATAGCTTTCAAAATCTTCTTTATTTGCTCTGCAAGAATTCTTATGTAGCTCTTCCTGTTAGAACCTACCTATATCTGTAGATGTGAGGGAGGCCAAAGCAGGGAAGTTGCAAGTTCAGTGTGGCCATGTATTTAAACTTATCAAAATGAAAGGGGGAAAAGAAGGATGAGAGTGAAGTTCAGCAGTAAAGCACTTGCCAAGCCTGTGTGAGGCCCTAGGTTCAGTCTTCAGTACTGAAGGCAATGCTGTTATCATGTGTTTAGTCTGGAAATTGAGTGACTAATACTAATACTGGAACTGACCTGTGTGGCTTCACTCACCAGTCGGGACCAGGGGAAAGCTGGTGGGCAGTGCTCTGTTTTGAGCATTGGGGCATAGAATACTGAATCACCTCTGCCTGGGGAGCCTCAAGTAGCACTGCTGGTTCACTCAGCAGACATATAACCTAGGAAGCTACATCATGAAAAGTGCTTGAAAGGAAAATGCCCCATCACATGTTATCACCAGGCAGCTCAGCAATTCTGAACACTTTATCCAAATACCCCATTGTTGTCACCCATTTTTCATATGTCCCAAAAGAGGATTATCCCCAATAAATTTTGTATTTGCTTTTTAGTTTATCCCATCATCTGTGACAGGCTGTTTAGTCATGTTGGTTTAGCTACAGCCAAGTGCAACAAATAGTCCCAATCATTACTGACACTGTGCAAGTTAGGAATCTGAGTCTAGATGAAGCCATTAAAGAGAGCTCATTTAACTCACAGCTGTGCTCAGCTGAAAGCATGGACAATATTTAGGTCTTCGGTTTCTTTTCTTTGGAGTAAGTGTGCTTCCTCTTACATGGGTGTGTATACTGATTAAACTGTAAAGCTATGAACTGGGTCGTAGAATGAGCTTATTTTCCTCTTTTGAAAACTTTGAAAATTTCTCAGTTGTGGAGATCATCTTAGTGCCATGGATTTAAACAGAAACCACTGACTCCCGCTTTACAAATGGGTGTTCTAAAACTGAGCATCAGGGAATGTTAACCCTAAAAATATTTGGATCTTAATCTGGGTCACTTGAAGCCGGAAGAAAATATTGCTGATATTGTTTATAGAAATGGAAGTTTTATCTTAACAGCATTATATGCAGGCTAGGAATGATGGCACATGCCTGTAGTTCCAGCCCTAAGCAGACTGAGATGGGAGGATCTCAAGTTGGAGACCAGCCTGATCTCAATTTTTTTAATGAAATATTAATCTTATTACATGTTGTCTTGCTTCTTTGCATACAAGCTATATTCAAGAATGTGCATATTTTTTTCATTCTGACAATTAGTCATCCTTTAATAGTAGAGAATAGGTAATCATTTCAAATATTTTCCTTCGGTTTATGTTAGTATTTTGAAATAGCTTTGATAAAATAGAGAAGAGAATGTGGGGTTGTAGAAATTTATGCCTCATATTCTCAAGGGCTGGGTCCCCAGTACTACAGAAAGTAGTAGTTCCCTCCACATCCCTCCTTCCCTCCCTCTTTTGCTAATTTTCTTGCAGTCTATTCAGATTGGCCCCAAACTTGATTTCCTCCTGCATCAATTTGCTCCACAACATACCACTTAGTGCTATTGTTTTAAAACATTGACAGTGACACACACACACACGCACACTAGTGTTAGATATTTTTATAGTGTTCATTGTTTCTTGTACATAGGTAGTTTTGATACTTTTTAATATCAAGAGCCTAAAGTTTAATGCAAAATTATACCTCACTATCTTGATGGAGTAATAAATCATTTATCAAGAAATTGACACAGAGCTAGGTGAGGTAATGCATACCTGTAATTCTAGCACTTGGGAAAGCAGAGGCCTCTGTGAGTTCAAGGCCAGAGTGGTCTACAAAGCGAGTCCAGGACAGCCAAGGCTAAAAAACAAAATAAGATATTGACACATACTGCTAATTCTCACCAGTGGGTGTTTTTGCCTTCTGATGGCCCTTGGCAATACATGGAGACAGTTCAGTTGTCACACTTTTTACTTCATGCTTTGAGATCACTGTTGTCTGTGTAGAGCACAGATAGAAAAGGTGAGAGTGCAAATCTGGTAATGACCTTTAGTGTCAGAATCACACATGAAGGTAGAAAAATTGACATGAAGAAAAAATGAGCAAGTTTAGGTAGATATGTTAATAAACCATCATGACCAATATAACTTACAGAAGGAAGGATTTGTTTGGACTTTCAGAAGGAAGGGAGTCTACCACCATTAGGGAAGGGAGCATGGTAGCAGGCAGGCAGATAGGCATTGCAGTGAAACAGCAGCTGAGAGCTCACATCTTGATTCACAAACAGGAAGCAGAGAGCTGTATGAGGACCATAAGAGGCTTTGAAGACTCAAAGCCTAATCCCATGACACACCGTCTCTAACAAGGCTAATCTTTCCCAAATAGTTTCACCAAAAGAGATCGAGTATTCAAACATATGAGTCTGTGGGAGCCATTCTCATTCAAACCACCACAGTAGATAATGAAAATTAATCCTCAAATCATGCTTCTTTTCTAGCAATGCCTTGTGTTGTATCCGTATTACATGCTGTAACATGTTTTCTGATTTTTTTCCTGGGGCAATCCATTTTTCCTTTTCAGTCTGAATGGGTCACGTTACTATACAGAGCATCTCTTCTTTTTTATTTCATGTCTTCATAATGTTGAATATTTGATTTTTTTTATTTTTTAAGAGAAAAGAAACTCTGTTCAACCCTTCTGAAAATGAGAAGATTTCTAAGCAGTTTCATCTCTGTTATGATATTGTGAAGGACCATTATATCCGAGTCTCAGATAACAATGCAAACATTTCTGGATGGGAGAATGGTGTGTGGAAAATGGAATCCATATTCAGAAAAGTCGAGACAGACTGGAACATGGTAATTTAATACATGAAACCGTTTAAAATTTTTGTCATTGTTTAAACAAATATAAAGTATCTTCATTTTCCAGCTGTATATAATGTGAAACTGATCTAATTGTTTTGGGTAGTTCTTTTAAGTGGCAACAGAAAATCATCTTCTCAATATTTAATAAAAAATGCACTAGAGACTCATGCACTATGTCATGTGAACATCCACTTTCTTTGGGGTTCAAATGTAATAACTTTTTAAATGTTTTATTAGACTCATATTAGACTTATTAATTTTATTTCCATGTATGTGTTTTGCTTGCATATATGTATGTATACCATGTGCATACTTGATACCCATGGAGGTCAGAAGAAGGTATCTGCTCAGCTGAAACTAGAGTTATGGATAGTAGTGAACCACAAAGTGGATGTGGGAACCCCAGTCCTCTGCAGAGCAACAAGTGTTTTGGTTTTTTTTGTTTTTTTGTTTTTTTTCCTTAAAGAAGATTCATTTATTTATTTTGGATCAAAATGTTCTGTCTGCATGTACACCTGCAGGGCAGAAGAGGGCACCAGATCTCATCAGAGATGGTTGTGAATCACGGTGTGGTTGCTGGGAATTAAACTCAGAACCTTTGGAAGAACAGCCGGTGCTCTTAACCTCTGAGCCATCTCTCCAGCCCACAACAAGTGTTCTTAATCACTACTTGAATTTAATTATTTTTTTAAATTTCTTAGTCCATTTATTTTTTAATTGTATTTTATTAATTACACTTTATTTACTTTGTATCCCCCATAAACCCCTCCCTCCTCCCCTCCCAGTCCACCCTCCCTCCCCCTTCTTCACGCATGCCCCTCCCCAAGTCCACTGATAAGGGAAGTCCTCCTCTCCTTCCTTCTGATCTTACAGGAACTCCACAAGAAGAGCAACAGAACCAGAAAATTTGAACACAGGGGTCTTCCCAGAGACTCATACTCCAACCAAGTACCAGGCATGGAGATAACCTAGAACCCCTACACAGATGTAGCCCATGGCAGTTTAGTGTCCAAGTAGGTTACATAGTAATGGGAACAGGGACTGCCTCTGACATAATCTGATTGGCCTGCTCTTTGATCACCTCCCCCTGAGGGGGGAGCAGCCTTACCAGGCCACAGAAGATGACAATGCAGCCACTCCTGGTGTGATCTGATAGACTAAGATCAGAATTTAATTCTTTTATAAGAAAAAGTAATCAAGTAACCAACAGCTCGCATGAACGTTACTGCATAACTATGTGAGAGTGCTACCATTTAATTCCTTTGCAGTCATGTATTGCCAGCCTACTAAATGGTGCTGGGAAGCCCAATGTTCAGAAAGCAACTATCTTACAAATATAATTAGGAGGTTCAGTTTAAATCATATCAAATGGGGGCTGGAGAGGTGGCTCAGAAGTTAAGAGCATTTGATATGCAATCATGATCTCAGCACCCATGAAACAAGTGGGGCATCCCACATATACCTGTAACTCCAGCTTTGAGCTGGGCAGAAATGGAAGCATATTTCTAGGGCTTTCTGGTTTCTAGTATAAATGAGAAGTAATGAGCCCAGGTTCAGGGAAAGACCTTGCTCAAAAGAAATAGAGCATGAAAGAAGAGGCTAGCCACACTCATGCACAGGTACCTGCACTCATGCAGACATATACACACATAAACAATCTTTAAAAATAAACAAATAATTGCATTTAATGACAAAGTGAGGATCATTTTTACTGAAACAAGAATAGGCTATGGGATTATTAAACTTGTAATTTTGAAAATATTTTTACTTAGCTAAGAAATGCATAAAAACAACACAATAAAACATAATTTCTCTGGGTGATGGTAGTGCACACCTTTAATCCCAGAATTCAGGAGACCGAGGCATTCGGATCTCTGTGAGTTCGAGGCCAGTCTGGTCTACAGAGTGAGTTCCAGAACATCCAAACCTACACAAAGAAACCCTGTCTCGAAAAAAAAAAAAAAAAAAAAAAAAAAAACCTTAAAATTTTACCATGTGTATGTAAATAATGATTCTGTAGTTGGTAGAAGATAGACATCTTCTGAAAGACTGTCTTTAGTCTAAAAATTCTGAGGCAGAAAGAATGGAATAGAAATTTTCCCTACTCAGGAGCTAGTTTGTACTAGCTAAACTGAAAAAAAGCTCGTTTCTCCCTAGCCAGCTATGTTGCTAAGAATAATAATAAAGGAAATGGTGATGTATGCCATAGGTGCAGTGTGCTGAGAAGCACAGCAACTCTGGCACAGTTGTCCTTTGTCTTCTACACTCATGTGCTCATCTGTAGACATTTGCTGAGTGCCTGTTAGATCCAGGTCTGTTCTCAGCTACGTAAATGAATACAAGTCCTTTCTCTTACTGTCTAAAAGGGAAAACATATAAACAGCCATCTTAATTACCATGCAGAGTGCTATAATAAGGGTATCAGTGCATTGCTATGGAAACGCGGAGGTAATTAGCTCTGGCTGTGGGAGTTGGGCAGATCTCCACAGAACAGGCAGTATTTGAGCTGGACACTGAAAGATGAGTAGGTGTTCATCAAAACAACAGGCATACATGCCCCGTTTTGATACATGGATCAAAATAGAACATTGTAGTCAGAAAGGGTACATTATATGAGGAGTTAAATGATGTGAATGAATTGCAGAGGCCATTAAACAGAAAGCAGATATGCCTGTTTGAGACTTGGTTTGCTTTAATGTAGAATTGGGCACAATACTTTATCAAGTGAATCTTTTTCTAGCTATAGGATTTAGTGTTAAATCAATAAAAATACTAGAATCTTGGAGAGAGGAGAAGGGTAGAGATGGAGCGGAGAGGAGAGGAAAGGAGAAGAGAAGAGAGGACAGGAAAGGAAAGGAGAGGGGAAAATAAGAGTAGCAATTGTCATTAAACTGTCTTTTTCATTTAGAAACAGCAGCCGTCTTTAGTTGTTTGCCAGCTCTGTTCAAGTACATGACATCCCACACAGCAAATAACAAACAACCTGTTCTCACAGTATTAGAGACTCTTACCTCTCAAGGCCATACAGACTTACTAAGGTTTCTAGTTTCCAGATACATTATTCAGTAATGCCTGAACTGAAAAGAACATAAAAGCCAAATCAGGAAGACCAGTACACTCTTTGGAAGGCAAGTGATAGCACCTCTCTTTGAAATCAAGGTGAATGGATGCCTAAATCATCTCCCCATTGTGTGGTCCCTAGAATAAGCATGTACTCTATTCTATGCCGGAGCAATGTTTTCTACATCAGTTGCTCCTGAATTGGGTGTTCTTCTAGAAGTCACCCTAGCTGTTGGTCCAGCCTCTTTGTTCTCTGTGCTCTCTGCTCTCTTTGCAACTACTGAAGAGAGGGAACAAGGTAGGAGAGGGGGTATAGAGAGTTAAGAGAGTAGAGATCAGACCTGGGAAGAGCAAGGGCAAGAGGACAGAAGGCCTGTAGAGAAAAGAGAAACTGAGGGTGGGGATGTCTCTGTGACTAGCTGGAGACCTAAGTCAGGGTAGGCTTCTGGGAGAATATGAGGGGGACTCAAGCAATGACTCCTAGTAGCGGGGTTACAGAGACTGAAGAGGACATTCGCTAACTAGACTAACCTCCTAGTAGAGGGAGAAGAATACCAGAAGAATACAAAAACTTGAATTGCAAACTTACCCTGCCTACAAGATGTGCGGGGATAAAGATAGAGCAGATGGAGCAGAGATTGAGGGATGCCCAATCTCAGTGCCATCCACAGCCAAGACCTACACTATCCCACAGCTTTTTAACAGAAGAATTTATCTAGCAGTCATATTTTTCATACAATGAACTTAAATTGCTTAAAAAAAGAGGAAAAGAAAAAAAGTGAATTGCTTTTCTGCTTTCCAGATGAGATGTGGTTAAGGCCAGAGGTCTTCCTCAATATTAATTTTTTCTAGTATTTTAATTTTTTTCTAGTATTCTAGTATTTTTTTTAACGACAGGCACTGTGTTTACATATGCTGGTTTCAGTTCTACCATATTTCTAACCATTGATAACCTGGTACTAAGGCTGATCCTATAGGGAGTTTTGTATTCACCATATCCCAGTCATTCCTCGTCTACAACATGCCCTGAATGCAGCTTCATTTTTCCAGATTCTTTGTTGCAGAATAAAATTTTCATCATTAGCCACAGCTCCATTGTATGTTTTCATTTAGTGTTCTTGAATTTTTTTTCTATAAACACAGTTTTAATAATACCATCTCATCTTATACTCAGCAGCATTACCTACTGGTAAGTTACTGTTTTCAGCCCCTTGCATATTAATGTAAACTTTAATTATATTGTTGAATATCAACTAAGAGCTATAGAATCATGTGTTTTTCTTTATATTCTACTTTATTCTGCCATTTGAAGTATTCTGGAAGGATAATTTTCTCAGTTAAGATTCCCTCTTCCCAAATATATCTAAGTTTGAGTCAGGTTAACAAAAACAAGTCCACAAAAGAAAAATAGATTAGAATGACTGGAATGCTAGTAGTGGTTATTTTTACCTGATGATAGAAACTGGAATACAAAATAACATATACAGTAAGATATTTCCATGGTGCATGTGTTTCATAGGGCCCTTTCAACCATTTGTTCCACATCTAAAGAGTGCCAGTTGTCTCTCTAAATGAGCCGCTCTAATTTGAGTATCTATGCATTTGTGTGTATTATATAATTATGTACTTTGAATGCTTAGTAACTTCATGTTTATTAGAAACACCCTCTCATCAATCCACATACTGTACCCCCAGAATTCTTTTGATGTGGTTACGTTAAACAAACATACAAGAAATAATTACATTGAAGCAAGGAAAGTTTGGGAAGTTCAGGCATGATGCAATTTTGAAGGACCTTGGAAGCTTACAGATTTAAGACAAGAACGTGATCTCTGAGGTACATAATAGACCAGGCAGATGCCATTGAGGAAGTGCGACATAAAAACTCAAGTCTGTTGAGAATGGCTATGATAGAGCAGTGTCAAGCAGGGCAGCGAGAGCAAACATTACACTCCATAGCTAGTACACAATAGTGAGGAAGGGCTCTTTTTCAGAGCATTTCTTTCTCTCATACAGACACACAGAGGGCTTGCAAGAGTACGGACGGGTGGATAACGGAGTGAGACTCTTAGGGTCAGGCCCGAGTGAGGAGTTAGCCTACAGGGCTCTCGGGTACATTTTAGAGGTTTCATGACACATAGAGAGCTGGCTGGGACAGGGATACACTAGAAACAGCCAGTAGACTTGGGCAGGCAGGAGAGGGATGCACTGGGAAGGAGGCCTGTGCATCATTGCTGCCGCGCTTGGTGGTGGCAGAGCTGTGCTGTGCTCATTGACAGGCTGTGGCTCGGCAGGAGGAAGTGTGTGTGAAAACCCTGACTGATGTTGATGGTCAGCATTGCTCCTCCCAATGCTTGCCCTAAAGTAGTGTACTTCTGAACAGACGCACGCACTGCAAAAACTGTCTACACACAAAAAGATGCCACAGGGAATACTGCAAGAAAAAGTGACAGCAGGAATGAATCTATCATTCTTAGTGGAGAAAATTTCACTTTTAGTTACTGTTGGCTCAAAGTATCCTGCAATGACAAGACTCTTTAGTTTTCTACATCGTTTGATTTCTTCTGAAAATTTCTCCCAATTGCTGGGACTTTCTAGGTGTATTTGGCCCGAAAAGAAGGATCATCTTTTGCCTATATTTCCTGGAAGATTGAGTGTGGGTCAGCTGGCCTAAAAATAGATACCATCTCCATCAGAACAAGTAGCCAAACCTTTGAGACTGGATCAGTGAGTTGGAGACTGCGGTCTGACACAGCTCAGGTCAAACTGCAGGGAGGTAGGTGCCAGCCAGAGCATTCATCAGGAAGTGCCTGTTTGCCTGCCATGCAGGCTGCATGCATTTAATTGAGATGTACCAAAAAGTTATTAATATAATTGGTAAAAATATTTTATTTAATCTCATTTTTATTAGGCTGATGGTGTGTGTGTGTGTGTTTGTACATGAGTGCACGTTTGTGTGTGTACATGTGTGTATGATATAACAACTAAAGAATGAAAAATAATTTCTTTTTTCCAAAGGATATTTTCCATAAAGAAAAATGTCTGTTTTTTAAGGGTTCATTTTAAATTGTGTCAGTCCTAAAAGAGTTACATTTGAAATTTCTCAGTAATTTTCAGATTACCAAAACTCAAGTGTAAATTCTTTTTTCCCTCCAACAGATAAAAGTCTTCATTCCTATAATGATTTTTCTGGAGCCACAGAAGTTACATTGGAAGCAGAGTTAAGCAGAGGAGATGGAGATGCTGCTTGGCAACATACCCAGCTATTTAGACAAAGTTTAAATGACTGTGGAGAAAATGGCTTGGAGATAATTATAAATTTTAGTGACCTCTGAAAGCCTGAACTTGAGGGCAGAGCTGGCCACAATCAAGGACCTGCCATGCCATGTATTAGCTCAGTGTGTGTCTACTTGGCAGTTTAGCACCCTACCCAACAGGTTTTTTTTTGCTGGCTACCCATCATGTAATCCTCATTAAAATATATCTTCATAGTGTGAACCATAACAACTTTTCAATTAAATACTCACTTTTTCTGTGACTATAATTTGGCATAAGATATTTGGCATAAAATAACCATATGAAATTATAATCTGAGCAGTAGGGTTGTAAAAGAAAATGATGGTGTTCATGATTAAATGCTGCTCATGACTGGGGCTACTAGTTACTTAACATTTTCTGATTAGATTTTCTTAACACTTAATTTTTAAAAACTATCAAAGTCAAGTATCCTTTAGGTTATATGATGCATGAGGCTGTTATGATTGTAAATATATGACGGTTAAAAAATAAAACAGATTATTTTGCTTTACACCTTTTCAGTGCTTATCTTGCCTAAAAACAGGCTTTCCTGGGTATGATGAACATTGAAAACTACCTCAGTATATACAGGTTGTGAAAACAGTTATCACTAACTGCTTAAAGTCAAAGACACATTGCAAATTCCATAATGTATGGGAACTTGATATTCTTTACCTTTGAGTTATAAGCTATCTTGTTGAATAAAATATTCTTGGCTTTGAAACTGTATTATATAAGAAAGTTAAGTGATGTGAATGAGCTCGGAAGCCATTAAGCACACATGCCTTGATATACTGTGGAGTAGGCCACCGTTTAAGTTGCATGGATCTGTTTCTAGTTATAGGATTTAATACCAAATCAATAAAAATATTAGAGCCTTATAGAGTGAAAGACTAGCAATTGTCATTAAACCTCATCTCTCCCATCTAAATCAGCACCTTTAGCTGTTTACCAGCTCTTAAACGGTAGGCTAAGTTTTGAGAGTACTCCCTTGCTAAAAAGTTGTTTCTCTTTTTCTCATAATAAACTGAAAAGAGGAGAATCAAGAACTTTGTATGAGACCCTGTCTCAAAAATAAATAATCTGCCTTGTTTAATTTTTAAGTAGCTTATTGATCTGAACTTGTTGCTGTGTCTTGAATATTAATTTTCTGAACCTCTCAGACACAAAGCCAGATAGACACCATCTCATGGCTTAGTGAGAGAATCTGCTCAGTTGGGAGTCATTGATCAACCCTGAGTTTGAGGAAACCTCAAGATTTGTAGTAGTTCTGTCAGAAAGATGGTACTAGGCCTGTTGAAACAACTGCTTCAATTTCATCTTCAGAGAGAACACAGTTTAGTTTTTACTGAGTCCTTACATAGGAAAACGAGGAGAAAGGGTAGTTGGGCATTTGGAGATTAAACCCAGGGCCTTGCAAACTCTAGGGAAGTGCTTTAGCATTGAGCTGCACTCAAGGTTCCAGACTTAAATGTTTCCCATGAGAGTTTTAGTGTGGATAGTCTAGTAAATGGTATAAACATTTAAAAGTGGAGGGATGGTATAGAAGTCTGAGAAAACTCATGACAGTGTGTGAAGGTTCAAAGAAACTATAAAGAAACTGGTAAGGTAGGTAGGTAGGAAGACAGTACAGCCTAGCTGACAGCCAGGCACGGTGCTGCACACCTCATGGAGTAACTGAGCTCTCACTTTCGAACTCTGTGTGGCTACAGAATGTCCAGGAGGATATCAGGAATAACACCAGGCCAGGCCCTGTTCCGTGCTTTTGATAGCTTAGACACAGGCCCCATCCTCATTGTCATGATTTGCCCTGTAATTCCCTTATCACCCCCCAACCAGTTCTACTGACACACTTCTGCTACAGCATTGTTTAGTGTTGGTGTTTTGTTAAAGATGGCGTCCTCAAGGCAAGTGGGATGTCTGGTACTTTGATCAGTTTACAAGGAAAAAGTGCCTATGACTGATACATCTAGGGGACATTCTGTAACTTTAAATTAGCTAATATTTATACCAATAAAAACACGGGAGGTGTAAACTGAGGTAAAAACCTGTTAGCTCAGCGAAGTAACTTTTTTTTGAACTATATACAAAATACCTATTTACAAGCCTGAATCTACAACTAAACTGCTAGCTCTTTAGAAATCTCTATCTAGCTAGTCTACCTTTCTCTTGAGCAACTCCAAACCCAAGAGAGCTCCTTAGTTCTCTTTCACAGAATTCTGTCTTTCCTGTGTCCTGCCGATGGCTTCTCTGTTGTTCCTGCAAGCCCTTATCATTTACCTGGAGCTCCTCTATCTTCAAAGCCAGAGAGAGAGTGAGGTCCAATCACTTGTAAAAGAAGTCTCTAGCTCTTCCCCTATACCCTTCTCATTTTTCACACACACACACACACACACACACACACACACACACACACACATCTCAAGAGCAAAGAAATTAAGTAAATGGCAATACAGGCAAGATTCTGTCCCAGCCCCTTCTTCCTGAAGTGTAAGGCTATAGACTCAGAAGTTTGTGGGTACCATTTTATAGATGTTCTAGGATACGTGAACAATAGTGTTCTTATAACCAAGGAGTTCTCTATGAGCTATTCCAGATTCTGAGGGTCTATAATAATAGAACTTGTGGTGTTGTGGTTTTATTTGTGTTCTGAGAAAGTCTCATAAACTTAAGAGATTCAAGCATGCCTTCCTTAAATGCTTTTGAGAGAAATGAAGACTAAGCCAATACAAATTCCAGCTGATTTACTACAAATAGATGTTTTCTCTAGATTTGCCATAACTGCTTCATTTTGATCACACTAGATGGTAGGGAGTGTCTTATTCCCAATGTATAGGTAGCAAAATAAAAAGCTAAATGGAAGGTAACTGCAACAAGTGAGACCCTCTTTCTTGACTTGCCTTTGTTGTTTTGAGACAGGGTCTCTGTAGCCTCAAACTTAGGACAGATCTCCTGCTTCAGCTGCTCAAGTGCTAGGATTACAGGACAAACAACCATATCTGGCCTCATAGTTTTCTCAAGATGTGTTTAGAAATCTGCAAACTTTAATTTACAAGAAATACATAAGTAAGCCAGAGGAGTTCAGAAAAGCTAAATAGCTACTGTAAGGGCTAGCAGGGTATGACACTTAAATATACTGGAGTTTGCTACTCAAGCTAACATCAGTTTTCAAACACTTACCTCGTTAAAGTTACTTTAGCTAAAAAATTCAAACAAGATAGTCCTGGAAATCAAACATGCTGCCTTCACCCCCAACTCTACACTATTACCAGAAGTGACTGACAAGATTCCTGATATGTCATTCTCAGTATTTCCTGTGGGTCTTCACCTGTGTGCACACAGATCAGTTTTCACATGTTTGTTTTTTTTTTAATCTAAAATGCATGTGCATCAGCTTTTTGCTAGCTTTCTTAACATCGTTCTAGAAATCTATTTCCAGTCATTAATCTCATTTTACAGCATATTATTGTAATTTATGCATGTCCCTTTACCTAAGGATTTTTGTTTTCCTTTTTTTATTGCTAGTGTTACTATGTAGAACATCCTCATATATATTTCACATGAAATATATGCAAAGATATGTACATTTAATATTTTGGTGGCTACACACTTAGCAATGTTGTTAAAGAACAGCTATGTCCTCCCTTTCTTGCAAAAGCTAAATTGCAGTGGTGGCAGCCAGCCAGTGTTCCCCGCCTCCTCAGTCTTGTGCCCTTTCTTCTTTCTTTTCCACACAAAATTAGAGCTGGCTCTGTGTCCAGTCAGCTGATGAAAATACGCCTGTAGCCTTCTGAGGTTTGTGCCTTCGCTGTCTTGGATTGCGGACTCTGGAAAAGCTCATCTCTGTGGCACTGGCATAATCTGGCCAGCTCAAGAAGAGCAGGGAAGCCTCGCTCCAACAGCCAGCACCAACTAGCTATTTCAGAGTGGCACTGAGACAGCAGCTTCTGGGAGCATGCTGCACAGGTCTAAGCTGCCCTGCCCAGGACGAGGACTTCTGCGTTTCTAGCATGTGCCAGAGCCTCAAGAATCAGTGACTTTAAGGCACATGGAGGGAGTTTGTTATGAAGCCATCGATAACAAATAGCAGTGCTATTTTTACAATTCTGGAGTATGAAAATATCTAGTTTTAATTTACATTTCCACCTTGACTTTGTGAGATTGATTTTTAGATGCCATCCAGTGCAGTATCATGCTCATATGTCATTCTCTTTAGCTACTTTTGCTTTCTGCTTAATTTCCTGTCTACCCTTGTTCCTTAATAAGATTAGATGTTAATATTAACAGTGCGTTAGTGTTTTAAAATAATGTGTGGACTCTCCCGTGTGCACACTTACATCTTCACCTCTTGTGTTGCAAGTTCATTGCTTGGATGTTTGTGTTTAGCATCTGGCTCCTCACGGTTACTTTCCTGCTTGTTGTCCTGTCACCTTGTAATGGTGATACCTTCTCTGCCCTTGAAAATAGAAACTGGGGCTTCCTAGTGCTCTCTCTCCTCTCACAGAGTTACTTCTGGTTCTGTATCCCAGTGCTTTGTTCATCTCCATTCTCTCCTACATTACTGGTTTTTCTTTAAATATTTGCTGTATTTATGGTTGGGGAGCAAGTTGATCATATCAGTAGCTAGCTGGGACTCACAACTCTTTCTGTAGACTTTCTTAGCACTCCTTCCCAAGAGGATGGTGGGCTGTGGACAGTGTAAGTGGGGGACACAGTATTCAGCTTGAGCTTTTCCAAAGGGTGCACTATCAGTAAGCAGGCAGCGACCACTGAAGACTCCCTGTCTCACTCACCTCCGTGAAGGTTCATTATCTCCAGAAAGTTCTTTCTTCCCCTGGAGTAGTTATCTTCTTGCATAAAACATGTAAATAGTTCCAAAATTGTCCAGGTGGATGCCCAGAAGCTTGCTTCTCTGCCAGTGCCTTCGCACCTCCCCACCTCCCTGGGTAGCCACATGTGTCCCTTTGAGTTTCTTCCATTTGTATTTTTGCTTTTGAAAATGTAAGCAAGAACCACTTTCTTCTTGATTCACCACAGCTATTATAAAATACTATAAGAACTTCACTTTTGCCTTTCTGTTTTGCTTCGATGGGTTTGAGACAGTATCTCAATGGTAACCCAGAATAGCCTTGAACTCTTGACCCTCCTTTGGAAGTTTCAGGATTTTTTGTCACTCTGTGCCAGCACTCCCAACTTTCTATTTTTCCCCCATTAAAGAGCTTCTTCCTTTTTTCTAGCTTGGTGTACAATTCACAATGGTGATTTGTCTCCAATCTTTCTCAAGTGAAACTTTTAAATGAAGATATTTAACATAAAAATATGGATTTTGGGTGCATATTGAGAAGTGACCTGTGGAGAGCACAGTTATCTGTATAGATTTATGCTTCCTACCTGGCAAAGCCCCCAGACCTCAGTCCCCTCCCAGCTTCAGTGATATCTCCTGCCACCGGTGTCTCACTAATATGTTTGCAGCTATGTTCTTTTGTGTTTGGTTGGTTTTATTTTGTTTTT